TAATTAATTTCTTCTTCCGTTATGTCGGTACTCTCTTTTACGAAACGGAACCTGATTGGCCGGCAATATCGTGGAGAAGAGGGTGTTGGGTTTTCCCATACAATCTTTTTTCATCTTGGCCACAAACCAATCGTAGAGGGACGAAACAGCTCTGAAATATATTAGCATCTGAGTCAGCATCATTTTCAAATTTTTGTTTGTACTTAGATTGCTGAGTTCCGTCACAACCCCATTTACATATTATCTTTAGGTTATCTCGTTCTTTCTCATTTAATGTCATCAGGACTTCTTCTAGGGAGGTTGACAGGCGCCTTACGGTTAGATCAACCAAAGATTGTAAGTCGCTTTCAGCGCACGTACTTGTTACTTTGCATGCCTCTGGAGGTGTGTAACATTCTTGTTTTGTCTTTTGTAAAAGGCTGTAACAAGGGAAGAACTTTTTGTTGGTATTTCTAATTATTTCGTACTGTCGACGACTTAAATCAGCTTCTACAAACATTGCCAATGCTTGCAATGGTGTAAGAGGGCCAGTTTGTTCTTTTCTTATTTCAGAAAATGCCCTCTTATATTTTGTTGCACGTGTCGGACTAGTATTGGTGATTTCTTTTAATATATCGGAAGCATTTCGTTTTCCACTTTTCCGCAACTGAATCTGAGCAGCATGAACGATCACGTCTTCTTTTGTTCTTTCACTTGAATCTCCAAATAACTTACGTGGGCGGCCTGGCCGAATTTGTGCAACAGCGGGAATCTCAATAGTTCCTTCAAGCCATGAATCATTGTATTTGCAAAACACGTCTTCCTTCTTATGAGCCTTTGACCACCTTTGTCTTAATTGGCTTTTAAAGTGAGAAAAGGTGGATTTAAAGGTCTTAATTTGTTCTTCTGAGTACGCTCCGCATGACAGAAGTTCCTCATTCAAGAAAGTCAGTTTTTCTTCCAAATTAGGCAAATTAAAGCTCTGCATGCGGTCGAACAAGTATTTACGGGTCACAGTTCTTGCTCCCGAGGTTCTTTGTGAACCTAAAACAAAAAAGACTAGTTAGTACTCAAAGCTTTAAACTTTCGATTATGTCTAGAATTATGACAGGATCTAACTTGGTAGTATAACATATTCCTTGTTAAACACAAATTATAGCTAAAAAATATTCCATATTACGCGTGAATTTCAATATACTAAAACGAATCTTTCCAATTACAAAAATTATACAAATTATATTTAAATTAGTAGATACTTACCTGCTTTATCAGGATCCATAACTTTTTTCTTCCAAAATAAACGCAAAATAACAAATATTCACTATTAACTCAGTGTTGCCAACGAACGCTCCGAAAACAAACACATACACCACGTGAGACGATCAAATTTCGAAAGCCCGTGGAAGCGCGGCATACACGGTGGGAAGGCGGGAGGGGTTGGGTATTGTGATTTAACCTGTCAAGCATACCCGTATGTGCGCCGTCCTGCTGGAAGACCCGCCCAAAGAAGCAACGCACGTGAAGACCGACTCCTTATTCGGATGGCTACCAGGGATCGATTTCAAACAACAAGATCGATTGTTGTAGATTGGACGAGAGCTTTAAACCGACACTTGTCGATGGTAACTGTTTACAGAAGAATTTCTTCCTTTGGGCTTCATTCATACCGTCCTTACCTTCGGCTTCCATTAACACCTCCCTATAATGCAAGTCTGGCTAGCATGGTGTCAAGAACAGCAAAGATGGGTTCATCAATGGAATGACATCGTCTTCAGTGATGAATCAAGGTTTTGTTTATGGGTGAATGATGGTCGTAGAAGGGTGCGGCGACATCGAGGGGAAAGACGAAATTTGGAGTTCGTTCAAAGACGACACACAGCCTTAACACCTGGGGTTATGGTTTGGGGGGCGATATGTGCTGGAAGAAGATCACCCCTTACGTTCATTCCATGCATATTAAACGCACGTCGTTACATCGACAACGTTCTGGAACCGGTGTTAGTACCTTTCATGCAGACGTTGCAGAATGCCACTTTCCAACAGGATTATGCAAGACCCCATACTGCTGTGGTTACAAGAAGGTTCTTGGAGCAGGTTGGATTGCAGATTTTGCCCTGGCCTGCACGGTCACCGGACTTGTCGCCGATTGAACATGTCTGGGATATGATGGGTCATCGACTAAGATAAGTACCAAGACCTCCTGAAAATCTGGATGAACTCCGACACCATCTAGAGGTTGCATGGAGGTGGCATACCCCAGGAGGACATCGACCAGTTAATGTAGGCGTACTTATGGTTCTCTAAGAAGGCTCTACTGTAGTAAGATGTTTTTATCGCAGGGTTTGAAACGACTCCTTTGTGATTCTCTTGTACTGTCTCACTTTAATTATTGTGATGTTGTATTTGGTTCATGTTTATCCCAGAAGAGTTTAAGGAGGGTTCAAGTTGTGCAGAATTCGTGTCTTCGTTTTATGTATAATCTTCGAAGAGATGATCATGTATCGCAAGTTTTGTTATTTAGTGACTGGCTGAATATGTGACAGAGGGTTTTGGTTATCTGAGTCGTAAAATTACTACGTTATTACTACGGTCTTTCGATGTTTGCCGACCTTATAGGGTGCAAGTTAAATCAGTGGCACTTTTACCTTTTCTGCTCTTGCACCCATTGAGCTTGAATTGTGAATTGTATATTTATTGATTGATTCTTATTTTGTTGTTTATTTGGCTAAATAAAGTATTATTATTATTATTCTCGAATATCGTCTATGACATCCAAATTGTTGCTGATATATCTCAAAGTTGCCTTGGTCTTAGCATTTTTCGCAGCATCTATCAACATTTATATCTCTAAATATCATTCTTGTTCCAACAACGGGATATTGTTCATTCATATTGTTCTAACTTCAACTAAACTCCATACGTAATAATAATGTGTAGTAATGTTGTTCTTGACGGATAGTTATACATTATTCTCCTAACGAACTCTATTTCGTGATAGCTTTCCGCATGGCATACTGTACGACTGCTATATTTGATTTGTGTTTCAGCATTGCTCCAAAAAAATCTAACTACTCATGCCGAATCATGTGTGAAAATTTCAGTCTTATAAACTAACAACTTAAACTTTGTCATAGTAATTATGTTCAGTAATTATGGCTGTCTTTCGAGTTCTTCTTCGGAATTTATATCATCAGACACCTACATACCTTCCATAATCGTTAGAAGATTCAAGTATCCCTCGTTAAAAGAGTAAGCAGCCGTTAATATAACACTTTCTACAAAAACATGTCATAATATGTTGCTACATAAGGCCAAATTGCAAACTGACAAAGTGTTTACTTCTAAACATCTTTGCAAAGGAGTGTCGCTCTATCATTTGTTCGTAACAAGGACAGTAGAATCTAACAGGACTGCTACATCCATTGTATTTTTGTAGCCCACTGCGGGTTGGTTGCCCGCACTCTACGTCACACTATTTGACACGCCCTGTTAACTGTCATTGTCATTGTACTATGTGTTTGCTGTGTGTTTTTAGAGATTTAGAGATTACATGATAGACATTAATACGTCTAAAAAAATAAAACTTCAAAAATAATATGAATACGTCTACGATATAACCTCTAAAATACACAACAAACGTATAGAGCTGGGCGTGGCAAATGGTGTGACGTATGTAGTTTGCGGGCACGTTGTCACAACAATGAATGTTGCAGTCCTGTTAGATTCCACTATCCTTGGTTCGTAATTACTTTTCAAAGTTGTTATTACTTCTTCAGCAAAAGTCAATCGAGACTCTTATAGGTAATATGTTATCAACTTAGAGCCTCACAGCCGACTCAGCCGGTCGAGATAAAACATCCTGAATTTGTCATATGAAGATATACTTTTATTAATAGCAAGGTATTGTAGCTGACTCGTTTTCGGGTTGAATTATTTTCGGGTTAAATTGCTTTCAGATTGGATTATTTACATATCGGATTGTTTTCAGATTGCGTTGCTTTTAAATGAAAGGTTTTTCTTCTTCAGCAATTTTCCAGAAATTTCAAGTTGGTTTTGATTTTGCAGTTTTTCACAAATGTACTAACGAAATCCGTATTTTTCCCGCAGTGTGCTGGACTCCTTTAAAATATCTCTCTTTAACAGGATCTTCTGGATACCTACTATTCATTTTAGATACTTTCTTGCCTATTTTCCTTCGAAGTTTTGAGAAGTTCCCACGTTGAAGTACAAAGTTTACTGGTAACTTGCTTCAACATCAATAAAATGCGAAATCAGGTCGACGATACCCTGGACATGATACGACATTAACAGGGATCTAGATATGAACTGCGATGCGGTGTATGACCTTTCTTCTATTGATGACAGGGTTAATTATTTTAACGATGTTATGATTTCCTTGTTGAAGTGTTAGAGAAAATTATGGCGGAGCACCTAAGATCCTTTTTAGATACTTATAATATACTACCTGATAAACAATCTGGTTTTAGGAGTCAGTATAGTTGTGCCACAGCGCTTCTTGACTTAACCGATGACATATATAGAGCTCTTGATGCTGATAGATCTACTGTGCTTGTGTTGCTTGACTTTAGTCAAGCATTTTATATCTCGAATCGCGACCTTTTATTGGCTATTCTTAAATTTGTTGGTGTGTCTGAGTGTGCTGTTTCTTTATTTAAGAGTTATCTGTTTGATAGAACGCAGGCGGTTAAGGTAAAGTCACAGTATTCTGATTCTATTGAATTGGTTGCTGGTGTTCTGCAGGGATCTATGCTTGGTTCTATCTTATTTACAATCTATAGCATATTTACAATCATAACCGGTCGCGAGTCGTGGACAACAACACGCTGTTTGATGCTCCGTGTATTTGTTAATTTCCAGAGTTTCTAAATTGATTTTAAGTTGCGATTTTCGCTGACCGTGTAGTGCGGTTGATTGTGACTTTTCGTTTGTGAATAATTAGCAATTTTTCAATAAATTTAGTTGTCATATAATCCTTCGGATTTACAATAATATAAAGCATCATGCCGGTGAACAAGTTATATTGTGGGCGGTGCAATAACGAGGTGGGGCGTAATACAACGGGGGTGCAGTGCGAGGTATGTAAAACTTGGTTTCATGCCAAATGCGTGGACCTCGGCAAGGCGTCGGCCGCTGCGCTCTCAGTCGCGGGCGCGTCCTGGAGATGTTCAATTTGCCGCAGTCCTGTAGATCGTCGAGCTTCTCGCCTGTTCCTACCCACCCCCGCTCCTGATGCTGCGGTACCGACATCTGCTGTTACATTGGAGGCTGTTTATGGTATGATAAAGGAGATTCGCTCTGATATGCGTTCGATGAATAGCAGGTACGAAGAGATGGTCGAGTCAATGCAGTTTTGTAGCCAGCGCGTATCCGATTTCGAGGTGTCCATGAAGCGTCTTGACGACCGTCTCAAAATAATCAATAAATTAAATGATGAGAACTTGCACCTAAAAAAACAGGTTACAGAATTATCGGGACGAGTAGCGGATCTCGAGCAATATTCCCGCCGTAGCAATTTGGAGGTCCAGGGTGTGCCTGAGAAGGATGGCGAGGATCTGGTTGCCGTTGTTGGGTCTCTGAGTGAATTTCTTGGGGTTCCGGTTTCGAGCGTCGATGTGGATGCTGTTCATCGTGTTCCGCATGGTCCAGACGCCGCGGGCACCGTAACGCGTCGGCTGACGTCTCCGAAGTCGATCGTGATCCGTTTTTGCAGCCGTCTCAAACGGGACAACTTCTTAGCGGCTGCTAAGCTCAAAAGAAGATCAGCGCCGGCTGGGTCGCCGCCAGGTCTTGCGATCCGGGGTGTATCGGACCGTTGTTTTATCAACGAGCATTTAACGCCTGCGAACAAGGTTCTTTTCGGGAGGGCAAGGAGGGTTGCTAAGGAAAAGAATTATAAATATGTATGGACCCGCAACTGTCAAATCTTTGTTCGTAAAAGTGATGATGCTCGTCCTTTGCCTATCAGGTGTGAAGCCGATGTGGACAGGATGTAATCGGTTTCGGCAACACTAAATCGTTCATTGATTATATGTTACTGATCACTATGTCTTCAATTGGTTTTTATTATCAGAATGTGCGAGGTCTGAGAACTAAGTTGAAATCCTTTTATACTAACTTATTAAATTCTGATTTTGATCTTATTTGCTTAACCGAAACCTGGTTGCATCCTGGCATACACTCGGCAGAATTGTTTCCGGATCGCTTTAACGTATTCAGGTGCGATACAGCATACGGCAACGATGGGGATGGTTCGATGGGTGGGGGAGTTTTAATTGGTGTGTCTACTGCTATATCAGCGGTAGCCCGTTCTGACTGGTTTGTGAATCTGGAGGTAGTGAGTGTAACGCTTAGAGCCAGGGGTTCTTCGTTACATGTTTGTTGTGTTTATATCCGTCCAAATGATAATTTAGCATTATATTCATTCATGGATCTGCTTACTGTACTCACACGGCGGTATTCTGGTGACGAATTTCTTATATGTGGCAATTTTAACTTGCCAGAAATTAAATGGGAGATTGATCTTTGCTCTCGTCATTGTGTACCGTCACCTTGCAGTAGTGCCCAATCTAGTGATTTTCTCGATGCTCTATCCCTCTGCGGCCTGAATCAATTTAATCACCACCTTAATGCCTTCAACCATACTTTGGATCTCGTTATTACTAATTTTTATTCAATATCTGACATAGCACTGAGCGATACACCTTTAATTCGTGAGGACATATCTCATACTACTTTAGAGTTTTCCTGCACAGTAATCGTACCTCCAAATCTTAAAGATAACTTACCCGCTTGTTATAACTACAGAAAAGCAAAATTTGACTTACTCAATTCACATTTTAACGGGATTAACTGGGAAAGAGAGTTGGAGGGCGACGATGTTGATAGTTCTGTAGAAACATTTTACGCTGACTTGCGTCACGGCATTGACAACCATGTTCCCAAAATGCAAAAGCGAGTGAGTGGTTTTCCTGTGTGGTTTACGTTCAGTGCTGTGCGGGTGATTAATGAAAAGAGGAAGGCGCACAGGAAATGGAAGCGCTATGGAAATCATGTTGATTATCTTACCTTTTCTCTGTTGAGAGGGCGAGCAAAATTCCTTATTAACCGTGATTATAAAAATTATATTAGCTGCGCAGAAACAAATATAACGCACAATCCCAAGCATTTTTGGTCATTTATAAAACGAAGAAAGGGCAATAATAATATACCGTCTGTGGTTTATTTGGACAACAGCACCGCTTCCGATCCTCGATCTATCTGTTCATTGTTTGCTGATTTATTTCACTCTGT